GGCAGGGCGAGGGTTATAGGGGTAAAAGAGGCTTGTTTGGCGCACGCCACATCATTGCCTCTTACGGCACTATCCCCTTGCTTCTGATCACGCATCGACAGCAAGCAACACAGTCGGCGTCGGCAGTCTTCTACAAAACACGCTGCCCCCGGTAACTTCGTTTTAGCCGGAGTTTGGGACCTAATTCTCGGGCTACCACTCATTCGCCAAGTTATTTTCTTTTCATTCCTTAAGGGAGAGCATAGGGTGACTGTCGATTCAATTGAGTAATAAAGCTACATGGCATTTTCACTATTAGGCCGGGTGTTAGTGTGCTCCACAGCAAAGAATAAGATGAGCTCCGGTGCTCAGGAATGGTCACAGCATTGAGAGACGCGCGAAGACGAGCTCCGGTGCTCAGTCACCGATCAGGAATAATCACAGCATTGAGGGACGCGCGGTAGGGCTGCCAGTGGCTTGGGAAAAAGCGAGGGAATGTGAGGCATCACGTCATCGCAGCCAAATGCGCAAAAAAACAAGAGTATGGTCCGTTTTAGACCAGAGGATTCCCAGACTCGTCAATTTAAAACAGATGTCATGCGCGCGTGGTCAACGCGATACTCCTGTCTAGCGAAATGATCATTTGCGATGATAGGCTTTCTATGATGTGGACGCATTCAACTGCACGCCAAGGCGACTAGTTCCACAATCTAAATGGATGCGGGGTCTGCGCAAAGGGAAGCGGGTTACCATCGAGAAACTAAGCCATTCACGGGATGGGAGATCTAAGTGGCGCCACCAGTCATGCGAAAAGTCCGACAGGAATTCGTCTGGAACCGTGGTGAACCCACTTTCTGCAAACCCTTACTCAACTGGGCCGCAGGGCATGCATACTACGGGGCCGAGAGATGAGGCACTGGGTCTGTGCGGTAGGTAAACGGTGCTATGCCGCTTCCTCTGCGCAACAGACTGGGAGTCCTACGTCCCTGAATGTTAGACGTGCTTGTCAGGATTCGGGGCCTCTCCCCAGCGCCCCGTAATTTGAGTTGTAAGACGTCTTTCGTTTTTCCTTTATTTATAGTGACTCAGGTCACAAGCTGCCCCGAACGATGTACTTCGACAGGTACTTTCGAGGGAAAGTACTTTTCTGTGGTACTTCGAATGCGGCACCAAAACCTATTGACACAATGAAAGTGGCTGGACGTATGTGTCCAGCGGGCATGGTTTCATTCGTAAATGGGCTGCCCGCTCCGTATTCGTATACACCGTATCCGGTACTGACTGATCCGAGGGCCTTTCAAAATGCCCTCAACCGTTGGCGATCGTCGGCCTAGTTCCTTGAGATTTCAAGGAAGCACCGGACATGATAGATGTGCTACGGTCGTCTTTGCTTCATCTGGGTGACGCTCAGCTGTTAGACAGAGACAGGGCCAACACTTTTCTTGGCTTATTTTTTTAAACTTGACATAACGCGAACCGACGGGTGCACAGTGGACGTCGCTTAACCGACTCCTCATGCCCTAGCGAGTTGCTGTAAGGGCACAATAAAAACCACTCTTTCTGGCGCCTGATTTGGATGAAGATTTCCGACGGAAATCAGGACTTCCAATCACTATCGTTTTGACCCTAACAGGTAACAAAAGTGTCAAAATCCAAGCCTTGACGTAATTCCGTCGCGCGATGGTCACTAGAGCATGCGTACCCAGCACCGCATCTCCACTTTTAGATCGACACCCTACACGGCCCGGAAATTACGCTTGTCCACGTATATGACTTTTGTGCACTAATCTGCTCGTGTCGGAGCAAAATTTTCCGAGTGCGTGAATATATTTAGACATGGAAGTAATAAGTGCGCCCTATCGGAACCCCGGTGACAGCAACCAAGGCTGCCGTACTAAGATCGACTTCGCTGCACTTCGTTCATCAACCCGCAAGCCAGTAAGACCGCTGGCTATCCAGTAAGTCCATCGGTGGATCGTTTTAAGCGACTGATATCGCTAACAGGCAGACCTGATTGACGGACGAACGCGGACAGCCATCCCTGCCGGACAAATAAAGTTCGATAGCGGACAGGGCTAGCTCGGGACGGGCGAAATTAACCGGCGCATCCAGACTGCCAGTGGGCCGGAGTGATATTCTTCGTTAAAGAGAAGAATCGTAATGGTAGGGGATGCTCACTGCTCGTTCATACGGAACTCACCCGTTCCGTTGTGCCTTAAGGACTCTCTCTCGAGCCCAACCAGCAGCCCCACAGCGGCTCATGATATATGGGCAGAATAGTATAGAAGTCTTTGTCGGTAATACTATTCTGCCTATGAATCGTAATGCCTGCCGAGACGTCCCCATTGCCGAAGATAAGTACATATGTATCAATCACCGCACACTGCGCTACCGTGTTCACACTGCCTGGTTACTCGAAGCAGGCGCAAGAGAGCAACAACATTGTCAGAATCGCACATCGTCAACTGCCTACTCAAGTGGCGCAGATCGCAGCTCCAGCAGTAATGACCTAAATAAA